AAAGTCAGCCTTTAAAGGAGGAAAATCTTTAAAGTCAGCAATGGTAAAACATTTGCGTTTAAAGCACTCCAAAGAGTTTGAACACGGAAAAAAAAAGGTTCTACAACCAATACAATACAAAGTAACATTATTCAGGCTTTACACACAAAAAAAAAGAAAAAATCAAATATAAAAAAAAAAATTTAAAACTGTATTAATTGCATTAAGAGTTTCAAAATTTAAGCGAGTTCTAATTCTAATTGTTAGAAGTGCATTAAACAATTTATTTAAGTTATTTGTTCTTGTTTTAGTGGTTGTTAAAAACATAAAACCATTTTGCAACAGGGAAGTAATTATGCTGCTCTGCTTTTCTGCATGGGTTATTGAGGAAACAGCTACTTTCAGCTTTTGCTGCATAATATTATTAGCACTTTGAGTTTTAGGCATACTTTCACTTGCTACTTCTTTTTCAATTTCCTCGACCTCATTGTTACCAGTACTGGTGCTGTCACTACTAGATGTATGAATCCTTTTAAATATTTCCACTGCTAAAGCAATAGCGGCAGCTTTTGAAGTATATTTAAAAAATTTAGTAATGTCATAAGGATTTTATTACGACGTTTATCCATTCGCTTTTTTATCTGTTTTAATAAATTTTTACTTACATTCGTTTGTAACTGATCTAAGTTTTCGAATAAAAATTTATAAACACCTTCAGCGGTCAAAAGAGTTGCAGAATCTTTACTCAACTCTTTTATTGCAGTTTCTATTGGCAATAAGACATTTAATAGTTCTTGTAAAGTTGCTACGTTCTCCTCTGAAATCTTTTGTTGCCCTAATTCATTTAAAGTTTTATTTATAGGATCCTTTATTTGAAGAAATCGTTTGAGCATGGCTATCAATGAATTCCACCGAGTTTTGACATCTAACATCAACTGCAATGTCATGTCTTTTTGTTCATTAACATATCCTTGTAACATGTTGTTTTTTACTGAAAAAAATTTTATTATTTTTATGATTCTTCTGACATTTTGTATAACTTCTTGAAAATCTTCAGTTAGATCTATGGTTTCAATGTTTTTCTCTAGCTCGCAGATTATGTTAACATCTTCAAAACTATTTGAGTCAAATTCATCATCAATGTTTTTGACAGATTCACCTTCAATGTCTTCAATAACATCCTCATAATCTGTTACTTCTTCATTTTCTTCACAAAACTTTGATTGTTGTTTTTTATACAATACATCAGTTATTGCTAAATGCAAACCGTGATTATAACAAAGTTGAGATATGATGCCTAATAGCCTTCCATACTTGACCATAACGGCTGCTCCATTATGTGTTTATGATATTATATCTGACTTAATTTCAATTTCAAATTCTTTTAACTTATTTTCAACATATAGTTTTATTTTTTCAGCATTACATGTACTTTTTATGTGAATTAACCCTAATACATACACTTCAAATGTTTTCATTAAGTTATCAACAAGGGCATGAAGTGTAACATTAAGATATCTATTCATAGAGTTATTAGTCCACTCGTCTACTTTTAGTGAGAATTTAACATTTTTTCGCTTTAGATCCTTGATAATACTAACTGTTTCGATTTTTTTTTTTTCATAAAACTTTAAAATGCACTTTGTTACAGGAGTAGGACTTTTAGGCATGTCAAATCCTTTACTTTTAATGTACCCAATAATGGCTTGTGATTTCACTATAGAATTCATTGAGAAACCATCCTCTGCTACACATCGCGATAAAACTTCCTCCAATATTTTAGTTTTAACAAACTTTTTTAACCAATGTACATACAACCAAAGTTTTAGTTTTAACTTTTTTATACTATTGTCAGTATAAGTACTTTTAAACTTTTTTTGATGTCGATGATTCACTTTGTTCACAATTTATCTCTAATGAATTTTTAGTAGCAGTAGTTAGGCTAGAGGAATTTAAGAGAATATTATGAATTTTTAAATGATTAAGAAGTGGTGTTGTAGATGATCCTTTACATCCTAGTTGTTTTCTGCAATGCTTACAGAGAGCAACATTCCTATGTTTTTCATTTTTCTTAAAATGGTTCCAAACTTCAGATCGTTTTGACTATACAATTTTATAAGTTTAAGAATTCTAATAATTAATTATAAATTTAAAATGGAAGTAATATATCTAGAGTGAAATATTAATTAGCAATGCGCGTATCCTTCGATTTACGGCACCGATCTTGTAATGAAAAACTTCGACCATTTTAGTGAAGCGTCCAAGACGTATGTGTTGTAAGAATGTATTTTCTTGTGTGTTTCTTTAAAACTTCATATCAACATATATATTTTTTGAAAAGTAGAATAGTTAAACATTTTTTTAGTGTTGTTCTTTTTTCTAATTACCACCGCTATCGTTGAATTTATGGTTCTTAAAAACTTCGTTTTTGATCAGATGTATAATTCATATTAAAGGAATGTTGATAACTTTTTCAAATTTATTGGGCCCAGTGAATAAACATATTTTCTAAGTGCCAAATTTCGTTACAAAATACTATGTAGCAGACACCTAATTTTTTGTAGCAAAATAAATACTTATGTGCTGTAAGAATGTGTTATTTTGTAGAGTTTTGAACCAAATTACATATTTTTAAAAAAGTTGAAAAGTAAGGCATTACTTTTGTGGTGCTTTTTTCAGTAGTTACAACCGCTATCATTAAAGTAACTGTTTATGAAAAAATTCGTTGTTGATCAGATGTAAAATTTATATAAACGGAATGTTGATAACTTTTTTAAATCTATTTTTTCCTGTGCAAAAACCTTTTTTCTAAGTGCATACCAAATTTCATTGAAAAATATTATGTAGCAGACACTTTATTATTTGTTGCAGCACAGTTACCTAAGTTTAACTTTTTCCGGAGAATAAAGGTAGGTAGGGGGGAGTTGATAGCAACGATTTTTTTAAAAGATTGTTGTTAACCCCCTCCCCCTATATGTATATTTATATAATAATATATGATAACAATAATGGTATATATATATTTATATATGTGTATATATATATATATATATATATATATATATATATATATATATATATATATATATATATATATATACATTTTTTTTTTCATGAGTTTGTAGTAGATTTAAAAACGATATATAATGATAAGAATTATATAGTAATATTTTATAGTTATTTTTATTACTTATTATAAAATAGTTTTTAGACTAAATATAAAAAAAAATTTATCATGATAAAAAGTATATGCAAGTTGGTTATGATAAATGAGTGAGATATCACTCACATAATCATAGACTATCATAATACAATTTCATCAGTATCATAACATAATTGATAAATTGTAGATGAAAAATCACCAGATGATAACCATATGGTTATAAAGCTTATAATTGTTATCATGATAAATTATTTTTAGTCATTGGTAAAGTTAACTCATGATTGAACAAAATTGAAATTTATTGCATACAAATGAAATCAATTAAATTTTTTTGCTTAAAAAAGAAACAAGTAACTAATTTTCTCTGGATATTTTTTTTCATTTAAGAAATAACTCAACGTGATATTATATGGTATTATGGGTCCCAAAAAGAATATGTGTGTGTTTCGTGGTGCAGCGAAAAACTGTTTAGAATCAAACTTTGCATTGTCTTTGCAAGTAGACAACAATTGTAAAAATGGGCATTTTCTGTTTGTATTCGTTAGCATTAATGAATCACATCAGTTAACTATTGAGCAGGTCAATAAACTTTATGGCTTCAATATTTGTTACAGTCATACTAAACTTCTTGTTAATGTATCAAAAAAATGGGCTTGCAATTTTTTATGAGATTCAAATCATTTTGTTTTGTTGTTGTTCTGCAACGAGCCTTTTATTTGTCAAGCAACAACATTTCCAGCAACAGATTTATTTCAGTCAAGTCCAAGTTCAAGTAAAACTGTTTCGTATTTGTCAGTTGCCTCATCTCCTAAACATAAAAGTATTTTGTCTTCACCTAATAAAAAAAGTCCTTTGTTATCCAGGTTAAGAGCTGACCAGTTGACTCCAAGAAAAAAACTCTTAAAACATAGATTAAGTGTTTTTGCTACTGAAACTGCTGCCGAAAAACGAAAGCATAGAGAGGACGTAAAGGTGTTGAAAGAAAAAATTAAAACAAGACCAAGATTTAAACATCTCAATGAGACTATTGCTCGCAAAGAAAAGACAATTCGAAATTTGCGGAATAAATTATTAGTTCAACGTCTAAACTTACAGCTGAATAAGCTTCAAATTTCAAATTTTCGTTTGAAAAAAGAACTGCAATTCACCCAAACAAAGCAGTCAACTGAAGAAGTTATCTTAGGTCAACAACTTACTGACAAGAATGTAGAGATTAGTGTCCTGCAAAATGATATGCTTATTTTACAGGAAAAGATAGAGCAAATGCAGCAGAAAGTGCAAAGCACCAGATGTAAAAAAGTCTACTTATTTGATATTAGGGCACTTATCTATGACATGCTAGCATGTCAAGTTCCTACACACAGTGTGCCCCAACTTTTTAGGAGAACACTTTGGGTATAGATTTAGTGACATTCCACATTGCAAAACTGTGGAGCAGATGATGCGCGAGCTGGGTATTATTTCAGAACTCCAGGCTGCTGAGATTCTCAACAAAAAATTTGACTCTTGGTTTTGATGCCACAACCCAGGAGGGTGTTCATGTTAATGTTGTGCACTTAACAAATGAATTTTCATGCATGGTTGTAGCCATTGATCAGCTTGCTGGTGGTACATCTTATGACTATGAGTCATATTACAAAGTCTGTGGATAATCTTGCTAAGTTGTATAGTAACTTTTACCAGAAACAATATATTGATGTACGAAGCACGATTATCAGCAACATAACAAACACAATGAGTGACAGAGTGGAAGTGAACCATGCAACTATAATAAAGTTAAACACGTTTTGGAAAAAATCTCTAAATGAACTGAACTGTCACCTTCAACCATTGGATACAATTACTTCTGCTTGCAAGTCATCGCTTAAAGCTTTGCAAACTTCAAAAGGGAAGCTTTTTGGTAGAGATTGTTTTGCAGCAAACATTGTTGTTCAGTTAAATAAACTCCGTTACAAGGATGGTAAAGGTAAATAAATATGATAAATTCTTATCATATTTTTACTATAATGATGTCATCTTAATATTTTAAATTTATTTTATTTCAAGTTGTTACTTTGAATTTAAATCTGAACTTAATAAATGTGTTTATTAACATACTTTCTTAAAATAAGTTCTTTGCATTTCACTTTTGGTTATAATTTTATTTTTAAAGGTGATCCAAAAGGCTTTGTCACCTTTTTGGACGAGCATGGTCTTCCTAGAGGACTTATACCACGCTATAGGGGAAATCGATTGCACATACTTTTCATACATGTGGAACTTTAATACATCACTACCAGAAACTTCAGAGTTTTCTGTTTTCTGGAGTAGTGTTATGTGGAGGACTGAGAAATAGTCTTTTCCAAGACTTCACATCTGATACAGGTTAGATGTTATTATGGATTAATAATTAAAATAATTGGTTCTTATTTTTTTATAGTATATTTTATTTAACTTTAGGTATACGCGAGATGTGTGCCCTAGGTTTAATTGGAAAGTTAGTGACTGGTCCCTGGATGAAAAAATTCTATGTTGCGCCAGGACAAGGACTTGACTATTTGTCTGGCATCCAAGTAATCAAAAATGTTTGCAATGCACTTGTTGAAAGCAGTGCATAAGTTCTTTCCCTTATTCATCGAAAAACAGACTTTTCTGGAGGCGATCTCAATGATCCAGTTTTTCAATCACTCATAGACTTTTGCCTAAAGACTGATAAAACGAGAGATGCATTAGCCAGCTGTCTAAATGCTGTCATTAGTGTTTTAACCCTTAAGTATGAGCGACAGTTTACTATAACTTTAACTGACCAACTCAAGTCCCAGACATTATCAGCACGTCCACATAATATTGACTGTGAAGAACTTGTGGTTATGTTTAGTGCTGCAAAGCAAAAAGCTCCTAATGCCACACTTTGTTATTTGTCTTCGAAAATTCGCGCATGCAAGAATAAGACAGCTGATTTTCTATCGGAAAAACCTACTGATATACGAAATAAATTGATAGCCTGGTCTATTTTTTCAGCCGGAAAAAAGCGCTTAGCAAACATGCAATGCCATAAAGAAATGAAGGCAGAGTTGATTAAAAGCATGGCTAAAAAGATTCAAAATAAGGAGGAGAAGGAAAGAAGAAAAGTGGAAAAAATATTTAAAAAATGCGTACCTCTACAGGTAAAACAACTCTTCCCAGATCTAGAAAATAATAAAGCTGCAGATATTGAACACATTCTCAATGGAAATGCTGTTGGAAGAAGTATATGCTACATATGGTATGATGCTGACACTAAAAGCCAAGATATGTATTATGGCAGGCTTCTTAGCATTAAAAAAAAAAATGCTTTATATATAGTTTCTTATTAGAAACCAAATGAAAATGAGGACAATGATGCTGTTGAATTTGATATGAGCAAATATCAATTATCTGCAGACATCATAAGCGGTGATTTGATGTTATCATAAGCAAATTATGGTAACAATCTTATGATAAGTATGATAATTTAATTATGATAAATTATGATAATAATATTATGCTTTATGTGTTATTTAATACGGTATTGTGCGTTTTTTATTATGTATTTATATATGTGTTAAGGTTATATTTTGTATATATTTTGTAAGTATTTATGTTTAATAAATGTGTAAATTACTGTTATATATGAAGTGTATTATGTGTTATAATATTATGCTTTTATAGTTTAAAAGTATTTATGATGTTGTTTCCATGGTTTCAAAGTGGTGTGACTTGGCTTTGTTTACAGCAAGGGTGTTGTCCTTGCTAGCCAAGCGGTGTACTTTGAATATTGTGACTTGGCTTTGTTTATGGCAAGAGTGTTGTCCTTGCTAGCCAAGTAGTATACTTTAAATAATGTGACTTGGCTTTGTTTATGGCAAGAGTGTTGTCCTTGCTAGCCAAGCGGTGTACTGACATGAAACACATAATTAAGTCTGTTTGTAATCACAAAATGTGTACTTATAAGTATGTTATGCTGTTAGTAAATAAAAAAATTTCAATAACATCTGGATAACTCAATAACCCTTAATAACTTGAATTAATTTTGAAATTCCAATTGATCCAATTGTTTATGGAATATGCTTTCAAAAATGCTAAACATTTTCTAATAAGCTAATTTTTTGGTCTCTTGGCGGTTTCAGTTATTGAGTGTTTACTGTAACGTTTTGTGCTATTTGTTAATCGTGTGATGTTATTGTTGTGATGCTTTGTGTTGATAGACGACTCGGCTTACCTTCACGTTGGTGTCTATCGTTAAAAATGATTATTGGATTGTTTCATTACTGAAACTGATTATATATAATCATTCACTAAAAACCAAGGATTCAATTTTTATATTAAAATGTAAAGATTTATCTTCTTTTGATAATTTTTAGCGTTGCTTTTTTTAAAAAGAGTTTATAGTCCAAACTTGCAACAATAAATCTTGAAATTTTTCACAAAAATACGCTCACAAAAAAATCTCTGAAAGTAAGTTTGTTATTTGTTATCACATTTTTGAGTTTTTATTTAAATTAACTTAGTACGTATACATTAATGCGTAATAAGTGTTTTCAATAATTTTGTTACATTTTTAGGTTGAATTCCTTCTCTTATTGTTGATCGTTTTCTATAAGCGAAAAGGAAGTTTTGTTAATTTTTATACCATTTACTAAAGGCAATACAATAAAAAAACAATTCCATTTGATTTTATAAAGTAATTCCGATACTTTTTAATGTTAAATTTAATTTTTTTTTTTTAATTTTTATCTCAAGAAAAATATGTTTTACTTCTCACATAAATTTGTAAATTTTTTCTCGTTGGAATTATAGTGTTGTTTTACATACTAGGATCCGTGACCCGTTTCTGTCTTCCTTGTGCTTTATAAGGAAATCTTGCTTTATAAGGAAAATGTGAGGCTTTTAAAATATTATTAAATTAAAAATTTTTATTAATTTTACAGCCTTGAAATTAATTGCATCCTCAAAAAATACTGAAAGAAATGTTAAGCAAATGTCAACTCTGTTAAAGATACTTTAGTTATGTTAATATTTTTTCTCTTTGAAATTGTTACTTTGTACTGATATATTCTTTACAGAATAAAATTAAACTTTAAGATAGAATCAAACCAATAGAGCTAACTTATTTTACATAACTAGGAACCGTGACCCGTTTTCTGTATCCTCTTATGTATTTTTAATAAATTTTAATAAGAGGATAAAAAAAAATTCGTTAATGAATCTTTTTGCAATTGGACTAGTTCCACTATTATTCAAGGCCCTTCCAAAAAAATACACGTTTCTTTCTTTTTAAACATATTTTTTTATAAGAGTGTAATTAAAAATTTTTGTGAAACGGAGTAAAAATTTTAAACAATAAAATAGCGACAGAAAAAAACAGATAGTTCAGCGACACGTTTTTTCCTATATTCTTAAATTTATACTTGATAGGAAGAAGCGTTTTACTGTTAAATATTTTTGTCTTTAAAATGTACGCAATATTATTATAATCGTTTTTATATGATGTTCGCAATATTTGTTATATACCTAAGGAAATAATTTTTTTTTTTTTTTTTTTTTTTTTTTTTTTTTTTAACATAAGAAATATTTTGATTAACTAAATTATTATATTTGCTACTTTGACATTTTATTCAATAAAAATTCAAACCCGAGAAAAAATACTGCGCGAGTTTGCTATTACAAAACTACCGTTAGCCGAACGTGAAATTTTAATGTTGGTCGCAGTTTTCTTAAGTAATCTTTGTTGTTAAATTTTGATACTAAACTTGCATAACTTTTTATAAAACCATTCTTTTTTTATGAAATTTTCGCCATTTTAATACTAATTTAAAGCTCTTTCCAATGATATATAATAGTCTAATATATGAACGGTTTAAAATTTTTATGTACGTACCTATATTATATATATATAGGTACGTGCGTATCTGGCTTTTTACGGCACCGATTTCAAAGTTAAAAACTGGAACCTTTTTTTTCACAGCGTGCTCGAAGTCGGTGTGGTAAGAATGTATTTATTTGTCTTTTTTAAAAAATTTTATATCAACTCAGACTTTATTAAAAAAGTCGAATGTTTAATGTTGAATAAATTATGTGTTTTTTTTTATGGTTAATAAATTTTTCAGTTATTTTATTGCTATTTAAAATTTCGTTCCTTTTCTGGAAGTGCATTTATATGGAAGGCATGTTGGTACATTTTTGAAATTTTCTAGTCAACTGTATAAATCAATTTTCTATGTGCCTGCAAAATATAATTTAAAAATATTCATGACCACATAACGTAGTTTTCGATCAAGTGGAGGTTCAATTTCCACCCTTTTTACTGTTACTGTTACTGTTACACTTTATTAAACTGTTTCTGCTACTGTTACTGTTACTTCTTGTTATAAATTCTGTTGTTTTTTTTACAATTACCAGAGATTTTTATTCATTTTTAAAATTTTATTTCTGTTCCGGAGGTGCATTAATATTGAAGGTATGTTGGTACACTTTTTAAATTTTCCAGGCAACTGTATAAATCTATTTTATATTAATATTTCTATGTGCCTGCCAAATTTCATTAAAAAATATTTATGACCAGAAACCCTATTTTATCGTGCAGTGGAGGTATGTATTTCCACTTCCGTTACATAGTTTAAGGCGGGGGGGGGGGGGCAATTCACCGGTGTTAGTCAGTGAGCATTCAGTATACTTGTTTTTCTATTCATAATAAAGAAATGTTTTATAAGAACTTTCATTAAAAAGTTTTACTTTTTTAAAATAGTCATTTATTACTAACAATACTGTTGATTTTTTTTAATAATTGTATAATCATTTATTGTGTTATTTATTGTATATATTTTTTATTGCTTACTCTTTTCACACATCAAAATCAGTTTCAAGGCTGCCTTGAAACTAATTTTGGTGTGTGAAAAGAGTAAGTAATTTAAATTATCTTTGGCAGAACTTTGCCTTAAAAGCAAAGTTCTCCTAAAGATAATTTAATATGGTGAAATAAAAATTAAATGACACTTTTATATGGGGACTCAGCATTTTCTCAGCTTTTTTCCATACCCAGAATTTACTATATAACCACCTTAAGCTCTATGATACATAAAAATTATATACATGTTTTATCTATGCGAATAATAATAAATGTATCTACACATTTTTTTATAGGTTAACAGTAATTTTTTAAATTAGTTAGTTGTGTTTAAAAGCCAACCCAATTAAATATTTGTATTATGATTGTTTGATTTAGTGCATCGTGGGACCTAAAAAGGAAACATTTCTACTTGATGGTAAAGCTAAAAGTTAGTTAACTTGTAGTTTTCACTACTAGCTCATTTAAATATTGGTTGTAGCAACGGACGCCTACTGGATATATTGGCAACTAACAAGGATTCATATAAAGTAACTGTAGAAGTAATCAATAAGTATTTTAACATCAAAGTTTGTACTAATTAGATTCTGCAACTAGTTAAAACATCAAAAAACTTTGTAAACCATTTTTCACGAGATTCAAAACAATTTATTGACATCTGCAACATGCTCTGTGCATACCAAATAATAACATCTGCTATGGCACAAACATCGCAATCAATTGCAACCTCAATTCACATTGCTATATGTTCTTCATTT